ATTGGCTGAATGAGGTGTAACCGGCCGTTGTGCAAGAGTTCTCTCTGTCTTGAACAAACAGACCTTTTACAATGTTCCATACGGAAGTTGTGTGATTTATTGAGATTTTATGAGCGAAGGAGCGGGAGCCCAGACGGTATTTATAAACACTGGGTCGAATATAAAGCGCGTGCAACTCATAGTACGTAGCGTTTCTGGATCGATGGAATCAGGCACCTCAACGTGAGTGGTCAAAATGCAGAGCACAAAGTTGTCAGGTTCGCTTAAGTTCGCCACCGGCACCACTGTATTACAGTAACCGGAAGTTGACGTTGAGATTTGGTTTTCGTGCGAGTAGCACATGAATGTCATGTGCAGGGGTCGTTGCCTGGATCTAGCGCTCCGGGTAACACCTTGAAGCTTGACCTCTTGCACCATGACCAACAAGCGAGATCTTTCTGCACTCGACCCGCCTGTCGATACAGAGAGACAGGGCAAACGTCGTCATGTCACTGCCGACTCTTCAGACCGGAAGCTCGAATTGGCATTTCCATCAACTTCACAAACTTCACAGAGTAAACCTGTGCCGTTCCAGCAGCCTGTGTCGCTCATTACGTTCTCTTATACGCCTTCACGCAAACTTGAATTCAACAACTCTGCGCTAAGATACTATGTTAACCCGCCCCGTAACGCTAATTTGCGGCACGGGTACGAAAGGTGGATCAAGCGACCAGAAGAGAAAGGCAGGATTGATGGATTGCTTCGGGCTACATCAAAGTTACGAAATGATATGAACGCAGGAGCAAGTAAAGGCGTTGATTGGATACGAAGCATTGGCGTCGTATCATGGAGGGGAGTCATGACCAAGTGAGCATAATGGATATTATTGCTTCGCTAGGCTCATCAGCTCCTCTACTCTGTGAGGGAGAATTCTCACGGCGCCGTATGAAGATCGTGATAGTTGGGAGATGAATGTCATGGCGATTGACGGTACAATGTATTTTGAGGAACATCTGTCTGACGCCAAACTAGTGGAGAAGTACGAGTTGATCACCGCATCTGACCACCGCGCTGATCCTACCACAGGGAAGATATGGCGCCGCATCACCGCCTACAATCTTACTACGGTTATTCCTTTGAGTCTTGGTGTGGCTCTTCAAAACCAGAAATGCCGGAGAATCTGGAAGGCCAGCCTCCTGGGTGGGGCGGCGACGTCGATACCAACGTGCAATGGTGCAGTGTCGTAAAAACCAAACTGGGCGACACTCGAATGGTTATCGGGGGTGAAGTTGACTGTGTGCGCAGTAAGTTGTGTGTCGCCCCTTCATTGAAGGGTCATTGAAAGATCGCCAGATGCATTCACGGGACAGACCAGTGATTTTGTAGAGCTTAAGACGTCCATTGCAATCCGTGGACCCCAGGATGAAGCTAGGTTCGAAAAGTAGGTCTCACGAGTACATGTGGCACATTCTTCGCTTACTGGGTTCGCTATTCCAGAAAGCTGCTCAAATTCTATTTTCAGTCTTTCCTTCTGGGTGTGCCCGTAAGTTGAACTGCACCGAGCAATGTGTTATGCTCATCTGTCACATATCAAATTTCTAGGAGATCATAGTGGGCTTTCGGACACCTTCGGGACAACTCAATACGATCCAGCTATTTAAAACAGCGCAGATCCCTCGCATGGTCCGAGGAAAACCCAACGCATGGGATCCCACTACATGTTTCGCCTGGGGCCAACAATTTTTCGCCTTCCTCAAATCTGTTATCCACCCGAGTGCTGAGCCTATCGCCGAGCAGCAGGGCAATGTCACTTCGGCATTGCGACCTCAGGTCTGGCGCGTGAAATTTGAGCCCCGGGTTGGTGTTAGTGTATCTCTTTTGGGCGACGCAGGTGTAAGCGAGATCCAAGCTGGCGAAGATCGAGTCGGATTTCTCCCGAGATGGTACTGGGACGAAGTTCAAACCTACTCAGGGCAGATAAGTGTAACTACCCAAGCTTTTGACCCCACCCACGGCAAGGGAGAAGCCCCGGGCACCTCAAGTGCTCAGGGTATGTCTCGTGAATGGCAGATTTGATATTGGTGCACATATATTACTTAGTTCTTTACAATGGGACTTGCTGATATGTGAACGTGCAGCACAGACTTTTGAAATGTGTATAATTTATTGCCGTACTCTTCCTTTGCATTTGGAGCCACAATCAATCATGTTATCCCGATAAGCCAACTCTCTGAACAGCATTCATAATTTCTAGTATTGCTAGCTTTTGGGTCAGCGCGAGATCGTTACAAACCCCTCTGCGATGGTCAAGAGGATGGTGCATCTCTTTTGCGCAGCCTGGATTCCAGGATTTGTTCTAAAGCAGCTATATAGCACCCAGGCTAGTCAATGTCTTCGATGCACCGTACGTATTCTTGATCAATCGCTAACACTTCAGGACCATAGCTGACTCAATGAAGTAGGGGGAACCGCGTATCCCATTACGCTTACTCGTATACATTATCCGATGCATAGTATACCCGCAAAATACATGTGTATACATGAGAATCTAGATGGTTGACATCTTCCGTATGGAGACGACAAGTACAGTTGTATCCGTGGTTTGCGGACTCATTGGAGAGCATGTATGTAGCTTCACCTCCCGATTCCTATAGCACGAAACCATTGGCATCCAAGCACCCAGTCCCGTTCCTCATCTTTTCTACGACCAATGAATCCGCTGAGCGACTGAGGAAAAACTGTTTCAGCCTTGTGCGAATACTTCTGGACGGTTTCTTCCCGTCCTCCGCGAGTTTTCTCTTATCTCTTTCAAGCATAGCCACCCTGCCCTTCAACATCTCAACCTGTATTTTGAGTTCTCGCAACTCCTCTTCATGACTGTTCTCTCTCTGAGCTACCAGATGACTCATCTCGGCATATAGGCCTTGCAACTCCATTCGATGACGTTCGACTTGTTCGTCAAGCTCGCTCCTAAGCTCTGTCCCAGCCTCGGTTTGTGGAAGTTGTTTGTGCTCATCGACAAGCTCCCTTTGCATCTGGAGCACCTTAGGGAGGTAAGTCATGAACAGCTGTATCATCTGTGAGGCTGGATTCGTGTCTTGCAATAGGCGACACATTCTGGCACCGTCGTCGATAGCCAGCTTGAAAAACCTCGGATTTCTTGCGAGCTCTTGCTCTCTAGATTCACCGAGGGCGATAGGAACCTCCTCCCACATCGTCGTCAATATGAGGACGTTCTTCATAGCCTTCTGGCCGCAAATTTTGGTGAAGAGTCGGAAGTTCTCTCTGGCGATCCCGCCGACGCGCACGTCTGAAATGCGGTGCATGTATATGACTCCAGACACCTTCCTGCCCTTCTCGTATCTGCAAGCGATTGAATTGATCGTGAGCCTGCAGTTCACTTCACACTATATTATGGGCGCTCACGTTTGTTCGAGAAAGTCCGCGATGTCTTTCAAAATGTCTGCCTGAGACTTATAGGTGTCGTCGAATCCAGGTGTATCGATCAGCGTGAACTTCTCTCCGCCGACCTCGCAGTTCGCGACTTGTACCGCCTTCGTGCATGATTCCAAGCTCGCCCCGACTTCCAAGTTTGAGCGGCAGACCGCGTTTATGAACTATTGCAAGTGGTTATATTGTCTCTTAGTGAGCTCGTCCCCGACCTAAAGTAAGTGCTAACCGTCGTTTTACCGACCCCAGTAGGCCCGGTTACACTACAAACCATCTCGTGTGGGCAGTGCTGCACTGGTGCGAAGCCAATGTCCGACGTACGCTATTAACTTCCGACTTGCATCGACTCCATTTGCGACAGTCATCCTGGACTGGTATGTTCAACAAAGACAGCAGGTAGGACGTGAAGGCACTGACAAGCGCAGCATCTCTCTGGACACTAGGTCATTGGCGACCTGGCCACCCTGAGGTTTTGGCGTGGACTACGCGCCTGTCGAGCAAGTTGTCCGAAGGGTGATGGGCGCTCACTCTTCTGTTGTGCACAAGTCATAACACAACTGATCCTGTATCAAAATCAACCAACGTCGTGGATGTCGGTGACGTTAGCCTGGTACACCTCACATTTTGTCATTGACAAGTAGGCTGCTTTAAATCATAGCGTGCTGCTACCAACCGAAAGGTGGACCCATAACATCGCGTGTCTACCACGAGGAGGACTAACTCCGACAGAGCTTAGGGCTCTATACGTGCATTCAGTGTGAGGCTGGATAGATGCCCAGCCTGGGCCGGCTGAAGACCATCCATTGCTGTGAGATTAGAAGTGAACTTGGCGCTCTGTGAGCGTCGGACGCAATGCAATGGCTCGGCCTTGTGGTGTCTTGCGGTAGTCTATGAAATACAGGCGGGAGATTCACGGAAAATTTACGTCTCAACAGAGTCGGAAGTATGCGTGCAGCGGGCTTGCATGCGGACACCTCCAGCACAGCTCGAGCTTTCCAACTTCAAATACCACGATTGATCAACCTATCAAGCCCACTCACATTGAATTTGTTCCTCGGATGAAGCACCAACTCGAGAATGAGAAACAGAAAGCTGGCCAAATTAAAACCAAAGGAATACCTAAGGGAGGAAAGAAGATATTCATAGCGTATGTTTTACATTGTTCGTGAAAGGTTCCTCCTGATAAGCTGTCCTCTAGAGTTATGGGACCTACTGGGGCAGGAAAGACTTCTGTGAGGATCATATCATCGCATCGGAGGACGGGTTCTGAATAGCGCACTAGTTTATCAATCTTGTCAGTGGCTCGAAGCTGCGTATCGGGGCGGGTTTGCAATCAACAACAGACCGCATCCAACTGTCGCGGCCGTTCCAGCTGGGCCAGGACACCATCACTCTGATTGATACCCCAGGTTTCGACGATACATCGAAAAGTGACGTTGATATATTGACCCTGATCGCGAACTACCTTGAATTGACGTAAGTCCTACAGTTCATCCCCGGGTGAGAGAAGGGTATTCATCTACTTTTCTTCCAGTTTCAAGAAGAAACAAGTGCTCACCGGCGTAATCTACTTGCACCGTATAACCGATAACAGGATGGGGGGAATTGCATTGCGCAACTGGAAGATGTTCAGCCACCTATGTGGACGCGCTGCACTGGCCAATGCAGCCATTGTCCTAAATATGTGGAACCAAGTCAGCGAGGTTGTCGGCAACGCTCGAAAAACAGAGCTCGTCAGCAAAGATATTTTTTTCAAGCCAGCAATCGATGCGGGTGCTAAGGTGTTCACGCACAACAATACCCTCGATTCTGCTCGTGAGATCTTGCGCGATCTCGCTGGCAAAGACCCAAAGCCGTTGTCGATCCAAATAGAGCTCATCACAGAACGCAAACCTGTTCGCCAAACAGCTGCCGGAGTTGCTCTGTTGGGAGATCTGGCGGAGAAGGAGCGGAAGCATCAGGAGCAGATCCAGGAGTTGCGGAAGGGAATCGCGGAAGCAATCAGGCAGAAGGACGAGGAGGATAGAAAGGATCTAGAAGAAGCACGGAAGAGGTTGGAGGATGCAATCACACGCCTGGCAGCTCAACAGCAGAGCCTGAAGACTGCCAGACCGCAGAAGAACGCAAATATAAAGCTGCAGCAGAAGAGGCGTTGGGGTTGTCTATCGTGTATGTCAGCAAAGCAGCTCGAGTAAGCTCAAGGTGGTTATGTATTATTATTTACCTAGCAACGCATCCATCGTATCTAAACCGTTACTTCGAAGGCCGCTGACGGCTCAAGTACCCATCGTTTCGTCTCTCCTATCGTCTTCAATGTCATTGAAACACGATATTTCCCTCTGTGCTTGCATTAGACGCACCTTACCTCCATCTGGAGATCAACGCCAGGGACGAGTGTGTAGCATGCAATCTCAAAAATCAAAGTTCAAACATAAAAACAACCCCGACCAATGATAATTACGACTACTGGAGCCGGAATATCATGGACGTGCTCGAAATAAATCATAAAGGAGATAGGATAAGAAGGAAATTAGTGTTTGCAGCAGACTCTGATCCAGAGCCTGCTGTAGACACTATTATAGACGTCCAACGAGACCAGCCCCGACAGGCGGTGTCCGATTTCTACTGCCATCCACTCAGGCGTCCAACTCAACACTCGCGCTTAGGCCGCGACTCGTCCCCCCCAACCTACACCTGCGCCGCTTTTCAAACTACGTTCCGACCTTTGATATCTTGCTGCGACTTGAAGCTATCATATTGTGCAATGGTAATAATGATAACGTCCGAAAAGCTTTCCACAGTGTGGCAGTAAGGTAATCGTGTGTTCCGAATTGCGAAGTACAACACTCCACTCCGAAGATGTGATGCAATACACTACTCGCCTGAGCAGCACTTCAGTAAGCCCCATCCGATTCACCTAGTTGCGAAGAATGCTCCTCTCATTGCTCGAGAATATTTGTTTACCTTGCATCGTCCCGGACCAAAGAGGGCGACCGCGGGACCGATCGCCAGTGGGATCTCGATCTCATGTCTTAGACGGGGGATCGGTCCATCAGCGCATCGCTCTAAGTAACCACATATTGCGAAGTTCACCATCGTCAGAAACCGTCTCGCCGCGGTGACGATCGCATAAAATAATCGTATAAGAACCCTTGTAAGTATCGACAAACGGACGACACATTCGCCTCCTCGCTACATAAACAAAAGCCCAATCAATTGTCGCATCGTTCCAAAGTCATGATGCAGGATTCTCCGTTGACATGGACCAGCAGCAGAACAAGAACAAGTGCCTGTACGGAGTATGCATATAGACGATCAGTTGGCGCCCCTCGCCTCAGCCCCGCTTCTAACAATATCTGCCTCGGATTCTGGCTCAATTGGCGTAACCGAAGCTCCCGGGCCATATTACCCATGTTGGAGGGAATCAATTCGGTAAACGCAGAGTATGTCGTAATAAAGCTGCGACCCGTGACAACAACAAGCTGCAGGGAGCTCGGATACAAACGGCGTTGTGACGAGGCGCCACGTTCCATCAACTAAGCTCGGCGTCCCAGAATGGATGTATTTTCGTCAGCAGCACCGGCGCATCGCTCGACGAGCAAAGCATGGTCGCCATCGCACGAAATGTTCTCCATTCGACTCCCCCATCACCAATCGTATCGGCGGCGTTCATACAGACTCGATCGACGGTATGGCGCACATCCGACTCGCCCGGATGTCGACTAGAGCGCTGTGGCTGCGAGCCGTTTGCCTAGTGTACTTCCCTGTTACCACTAGACAGTAGAAGCCCGTGCCTCGCGGATATCCGTCCTCGTCGCTGTTTGCCATTCAAAAGCATATTCGGCGCCATACGCTGTGAGGCGCCGAACGTTTCGACGGAAGAGTATTGGAGTTGTTGAACCCGTTTAGTTGTCCTTGTAAATGTCATGCGGAGCCGGTGTATAATGGTCGGCAGCATACACTATAGCCCATACAAGCTTCTGCTGTCCAGACGACCAGAAATTTGTGTACCTGACCGCCGCGATCTGCACCTCCCCTGCAACCACACGCAACGTGGGGGCCGGTAAGTTTTTCCATTCAGGCATGGCCAGGAACGTTTGTTCAACGAGTATTGTAACCCGACTTTGCGCCTGGCAACGGGTGTGATAGCATAACGCGGCGGCGGGACAGTAGTTCCTTGGTACTAGAAACAGGGCTTGAAACGCTTATTCGAGCACCACCCACGCCTTTCCACCCGCGCGTGTTCGGTAGCAAGACGCTTGGCGAGTTGGTAATGTCAAACTTTGTCTCAGCGGTGAAAGGACGATTGGCTCCTCCTCCTACTGGACGGGTGACCCAGGCGTTCAAACTCCGGTGATCCGTGCTCAGGCAAGTCCGAGCAGCCACTGATGCGGCTCAGGCCAAGCCGCCAACCTGCATCCTGGAGACAAGAGAACCACGGCGATGGTGGTGAGACGGACCACACGAAGCTCGCCAGAGAGATGCCAGGGGAAAGTTGGGTGACAGCGAGCGCTGTTGGCTTCCGAATGGCCCACAGGAAGAATTGATTACTCTGCGCAAGATCTCCGAACATTCACGAGATGATTGGGGACGGGTGTACAATGTGCGAGAGAAAAAAGGTCAAGCGGCAGGAAAAGGTTCCGCGATGAGCATCAATGGAGTCGGTACGCTCGGAGGACATGAGGAGTACCGGTCCACAACGGAGAGCGCACCCAATATTGACCGTATCACCCTATGTAGGTAGGTAGATTTTGTCGTGGCACGGTGACCGTCATGGATGATGGATGGAGCAAGACTTGAAACACGTACGCACAACTGCCATTTTTCACCATCGTATCACTACATCATCATTGCATCACGGTATCAATGTCGAACCAACTTGGCTAGACGATGGTCTTGAGGTGTGACTGAACAGATGCATGGCAACCGCATGGCAGCTGCTACAGATGAGAATGACAGAGCCTAAGCTGATATCAAGAGTTTGCTAAGACGAGGCCTCCGGAACATAGTGGCAAGAGGACCGGTCTGGACATAGAGTATGACAGATATTCTTGATGCGCCTGATCCATGTGCTATGTTTGAAAACAGACTTGCTGGATCTCATGCGACTGACTTACGAGGAAGCTTCCTGCTCAGAACGTGACCTGTCCATGTGAGCTGAGATGACTGGTTCGACAGAACGTTTAGCAAAGAACATGACTCGAAGCAGGAACAGAGAATCGGCCGCAACCCTCTCAAAAGACGAGCAGCATTAAAGTAGGACAAAGCCTAATTCACACACGCTAGTCGCATCAAGCAATTTCGGACGCGATGGTTTCCATAATTAAGAACGTCGGCCAGACGCAAACTCTGACAGATCTTGGTTTTGATAACTGAATCACAGAGTGCGAGCATTGAGCTGATTAAGTAGAATGGGAGTGCTCGGTCGTTGTCAAGGGCGGCCAACGGAATCCCACCATCGGCATTGCATCGATGTAAGCACCGAACCACGGTTGACGGTGGATGAAGACGTGAAAACTGACGCTCCAAGATGCGTTTGAATTGCCTTCGTTGGTTTCCACAATTATGATGGCGAGCGAAGGTCAGCAGGACCAGCAGTTGAGACAAGCACACAGCAGTACATAGATCAGGTTGCAAAAGTGTGGGACCGTTACGAGAACTGTGTGAGCACTGAAGGAATGGCGCAGAAGCATTGATGAGGGATTAACCGTGAACTCGGAACGCAAACGTGCCTCGCGCGTGAAGACTACCTACCAAGCGCGAGCCACGGCAGCCTACCGAAATGTATGACGAACTCGACAGCGGCGGGGACGAGCGATCGGTACTGCCTCAAGATTCGGAGGGGCAGTGGACGGGGATATCTGACGGACGGGGTACGGAACGAACGGAACGAGAGGTGGACAAGCCCGAGGAGGGCCAGAAGGCTGTCCTACCGCATGCGTTGACGCGATATTGAATGGAATAGTTTAGAGCGGTATCAAATAGGGATTGTTACGTTGCTATAGCATATCATAGGGGGGAACAGGGATTATCGCATTACTACTGTAGCAGCAAGACCATCGACGGACCTGTCGTGGACGTGGCGAGCTCTGCGGGAGCCATTGGCCGATGGGCGCCCCGGCCGGCTGATTACCAAATTGGGGATGGCGGCAGCACCGCCTCTGAGGAAGCAAAA